GGGAAATAGTTTAAACTTCAGTTGCAAATCAATTCGAAAGTCAACAAAGTTCAAATGAAACAGGGGAAACGTGTGAGTGCACCTGCACAATTCCACCTTCTACGAAATCTCTTCTCCCTCCACTTGGACCCCCCAAATGCAATTCTAACTTTGCTGCCAATTTTCTGTGTATTTGCGAGTGTGTGCCAAAGGCTAACCAGAACATGTCAAACACTTGAGTCAAGCCAAAAACTTTTGGTCAATTGTTTAACTGGCTGCCGCCAGCCGGTTGTATTTGGTCATGGCTTTGGGGCATTAGTCAAGAGTTGAATCCAGGATTGAGGTGGCCAAAAGTGAGGCAAACTTTTAAGCCAATTTGGAAAATGCTACCATGTATGCCTCGCCCCCGCTTCCATGCTTCATTTTAAACCATTTTAAGCTCTTCTTCGGGGAACAAGTGCCGCAGCTAGTAATTAATCTTTGAGTGGCGCAGAGGCAGAGCCACATAAATCACTGTCTGACGGGGCTGCACGTTGCAGCATGCAACATCTGATGTTGTCGCGCCATACGCTCAACTTTAGTGGAGCCACTGTTGCGCTGTCACTGTCCCTGGCATGTTCTAGGGTTTCACTAGTCGAGTGCTTGTTTTTCTTGTTGCTTCTAATATGTCTTAAAAATTAATTAAGCGCCCGCTGGCTGCTGGAACAGAACAGAAGAACACACAGCAGGGCCGAGAGACACACACAGCAGGACCGAGAGACAGGCAGGAGATTAGCTGCCAGAACAGAGGCAGAGAGACAACTAAGTCGCTTCAGAAGGAAAGCCATTCTAGCCAGAACCAACACAAAAAACGAGTTTGTTAGATTTTTCATTGAAATTCCCATATTTTCTTGCAGCTTCGGCTTCAGACCGCATTTGCATGAGCCCCTCCTCTCCCGCACATCATCCCCATTCCATTCCATTCTGCAGTGCAATTAAAATATTTTCACTAATTTAATTTTGGACCAAGCGCACGGGCGGGGGTATTATCATGCAAATTATAACAATTTATACGCATTAAATGCAACAGCGAATAGCCATTCTTTTCTCCACTGCCCCATTTTGCATAATCACCCCCCTACCCACCCCTCTGCGTACATATATATCTTCCTGCCGCTTGTATCCTTCATTGTGTGGTCCCCCCTTTTGGCATTCTGTAAATGCAAATAGAAATGCAAAACTTTTCACATCAAAAAAACACAGCAACAAACAAACTGAGGAATTCAATTGAAGCACGTCGAAGGGGATATGCGCTTCCTTTGAAGCTAAGCCTATTCAAATAATCAGATTGTAATCATTAATCATAAACCACTCCACACAGGCTTTGGTAGATATTTTACAGGTACAGCCTGAGCAAGCAACAGACCCAGGAACGCAAAGGAAAGAAACAGCTATAAGGAATTGGAATAGTGGATATGAAACAATGGGCTGGATGATATTCAAGTGTTCAAATCTCTGCTTTAACAGTCCGGGTACAGTCTGAACAAATAACAGACCCAGGAACGCAAAGGAAAGAAACAGCTATAGGGAATTCTAATGAATTGAAATAGTGGATGAATGATATTCAAGTGTTCCAAACTCTACTTTAATTTGTACAACAACTCAAATATTATTCAAACTATTTATTTTCGAAAGGCTTCAAATAGCAAAACTCATTTTGTATGTGCTTTACTAATTACAGCACAATTTTTAGCAAAACCATAAAATGTTGTAGTTTGTTTTATAAACTTTTGTGGGGCGAATATTCCTTAAACTAAATTACTTACAACTGGCTCGCTTTGTGAGAGCAAAAGAGATTACAAAATGCCAGTAAAATGTAGTCGGAAACTGGAGTTTCCTTTCGTTTACCTGACAAACATTATGGCCAAGTTCTAATACCCTCAGATAAAGTTTAAAAACCGAAATGCAACGAGACTGTTCGGGCTGTTAGAGGCATGAAATGAGCCTGGCAAAACTTATGTCTGCGGTCCCAAGGACCAGCAGCTGCAGGAATCCTTCCTATCCTGCGTCTGGTTCTGGCTCTGGCTGTGGCTCTGGCTCTCATTTTGCATGCGAGAAATGTGGCACTGCTTGCAAATGAGATTTCTTCTGTTGTTGCACGCTTAATGCCATTGTTGCACGTTGCACGTATCCTGCGCATCCTGCTGCACGTACCCATTGTTTACATTGGGAATGTTTTCGTTTTGCTTGTCACCGTCTGCTCAGTGGCCCCAACACCCTCCCACACAGCACACACCGAGGACAAACAGGATCTCCTGTCTCCTCCCAGCACAAGGTCTGACTTCAATACGCACTCATGCAGATATAATTTGTGCAAACGCACAGGCACACGCACATACATCCCTTATTCCGCACTCCGCATTCCGTACCCCTCAATCCGCAGACCATATACCCCAATGCGATGTCATCAGCAGAACTCTAAATAACTTTCAAATGAAGCACTATGCAGTGCTGGTATTCGTGACCGCCAAACAAATGGACACAGGAGCGCAAAGGGGGTTCCCAAAAGGAATGCCATCATGGTAATGGAATATTAAAGGATTTGGATTACAAATAAATACATGAAGAGGGGACATGGCTAATATACTCTTCCTTTTTGATCATCTGATCACAATTGCAAATCTTGTATGGCTTATCGTTTCATTTCGTTGTTCCAAATTCCCATATAGTCCGCCGGAAGGGGAATGGATCTTATGTAAACTCACTCACCCATTCGTTCCCCTAGCATCATTTAGATCTCTCTTTTCTGATCCTTTCCATATATTCCATTCTCTGAATGGAATTCATTCCATTCCAAACCGATCAAAGTGTCCCTTTCCTGATCTGCACCCAAAAGCTTTCGCTCATTAGCCATTTCTACTCTGTTCCATCCTTTAACCATCTCGGCACTCTATTTACCCCTGCAATACCCCTGCTTAAACGCAGATTGCGTTTCACGCATGGCTGCCAGCGCTCAAAAATGGGCCTCGACGGACCCTGGCACTGGGCCTGCCCACTGGGAAATGTGCCATTGTTTTTAAACTATATATACACTCACGTATATATGTATGTATTTGGCAAACTTTTTCGTGTTTCTTGTCCATACGTTTTATGAACATTGTAAAATTGTGCTGCCTGATTTTTTGCTCGTCCTTTTCCTCTTTTTTTTTTGTTTTTGTGTGCGGTTGCGGTAGCCAAAGTGTGAATGTGTGAATAAGTGAGTGTGGCTGTTAATGTGTGTGTGTGTGTTAATGAAAAGTTCCCCCAGTTTCCACATGGCTAATGAAATATTTAAATGTAATTTTGGTGCGTTAATCAAAACGACGTTAATTAACTGTGGCAAAATGTTTTAATTAGGACATATAAAATGTATATGGTGCAGGTCCCCTCCCCCAAAAAGAAGATCCCTACACAAAAACCAATACTCTTCTGTTCTAAGTGTGGGTCTGGCTGGAATTGAAATAAACGTAGCCTACTTTTGCGGGTCCGAACCGAACATGAATCAACGTTTTTCGGTGGCATGGCCGTTTTTCAGGGCAATTGAATTACAAGTGCCACAGCTGCAACCTGCAACGACGACCAAGACTTGCAAGACGGACACCAAAAGCGGAAAAGGCAAAACGGAAACGGAAACGCCTGCCATGTGCAGCGGTAGTGGGTAGTGGAGCGAAGGGCTTGAAGATAGCTTCATAAATCCGGATGGTTGGCAACACCGCAGTAAGCACAATCCCCTTTTGAACTCTTGTGAAATATATGCTTGCCAAAAACCCAGATGCTGCTTCAGACAACGATACATGCGTGTGGGTTTACGGTGCGGTACGGTTGCGGGGGGTGCGTGATGCGTGGTGCGAGGTGCCGGTGTGCATGTGAGTGACAGAGAAAAATACATGCTCCCTACTTCACTCTTGTTCGCTCTTCCGCTCCGCTTAAGCCGCAAGGAACAAAACGAAAAACAATTTAAATGATAAATCATAACGCTCTCTCTTCGCTATACGATTGGCGTGGCATAAGGACGTACTCATGCAAGGATGAGGCTGCATGAAAAACCCTTGCGCAAATAAATGCATTAAATTGTCAAGCAATTAGTAATGTGTATGATAGGATAATGTAATGCCATTAATTGAAGCTTAATTCAATTACTCAGAGAGTTATGCGTGCTGTCAGATAGTTTACAGTGCTACAAATGTTTATTAATTCTGATTTGTGGCCCATCTGGGACACACGCAGTCGAATCGCAGTCAAGTCCTTGTGCAGCAACGGCCCCATTCATGCAATGTTCGAAATGTTTTTAATTGAATGCCCAACGCACATGTGGAACGTGCAGAGGGACAATTCTGCTGGCATGGCAAAAAAAAAAAGGTAATGTTTGGTAGCCAAAAGTCAACAGCATGGAACAGAGGCAGAGAGCCAAAACCCAGAACAGCGTCAGCATCAGCCTTAAATCCGTTTTCGATTCCCATTTAGACGGGGATTCACACAAGCACACACATACACATACACAGGAGGATACGGGCACAACAAATGTTGCCCTTGGGAGCTGTCAATGGGTTGGAGAGCCCCTGCTCAAAATGTCGCCCTCAATTTTAACAAAATTAGAAATGCAAAAGGATTACCATTACGATTTGTTCAATAAAATGTGTCAAATAAAAATTGACAAAAGGGAATTGAGAGAGCAAACAAGACAGGGCCTAAGCCCCCTGTACCCCCGCCGTAAAGCGCCATTATTCATTTGGTAAACGATGGCCCACAGGAGGCAATCGACTGGGGGACAGCCGTCACCAGTCTGTTCCGTTTGAATGGAGGGCTCCAATATGCAAAATCAGCAAAGTTTTTTAACTTTCAAAAAGGGGTAGGGGAGCGGGAAGTGGATGCCGCATGCAACGCTTAGAACTCGGTCATCACGTGCTCGATAAATGGCCAAAAAAACCAAAACCAAAAAAGAGGAATTATGTATGTTTATTTAAAGTGCATTTTTTTGAAACGTAACCATTTTGAAACTTAACTGTTTAGGCCGGTGTCGTCACACTATAATTAACTGCATGGCGTATTAGAAGTCGCGTGTCGCAAAGCACGAGAATTGCGAAATGGCAGTTCAATAGTCGAGCAAATTGAAGCGCCGCACCACGCACAGCTTTCTCGAACAGTTGCAGTTGCACTAATGTTTATGCCCCAAGACACAGACTACTTTCATTTGGCGGCAAGCTAAAGTTCTTGCGCACTAGACTTGTTTCAAACCCCACCATGTTCCCGCGCACTAGCTCGTTTTTTCAATCTGGCAATAATGGTACTTTTTTCAAACCTCTGGCAGCCATGCAGCTGCATCAATACATGCAAGATCTATTAAATGTGGGGTAAGGCAGTCGCTCTCTTTCTTGCTTTCTTTGTGTCTCCTTACTTTCCATGTAACATACCTTGGGACATTGCAGCGGCCATTGGCACATCGGCTTTTGGTTATTAAAATTTTTTTTAGACAAGATCCAATAAAAGCAGTTATTTAAAATAGGCCAGAAAATTAGAAAATAGGTTCATTAATTGGATAAAATTATATTTAATCGAATCTAAATCGAGGATATACAATCATTTATCAGTATATTTATGGTATATTTTGAAAATGAGACCGTGTTTTTTGGTATTTATTTGAATAGGGTAGAATCTGTAATAACCGGTTCACAACAATGAGTTGCCCACAACAAAATTATGTGGGCATGGCTAAATGTTCTATATAGCTGGTATTATTGAACGGAACATCAAAATTGAGGAATTCGTCGTATTTTTTTGAATCGGTAATGGCCCGGTTGACAACATTTAAATTCTTGTCGCTCACATTCAAAAAGGTTAGATTTGGCGCGAACCCCTCGGTATATTTTGAAAATGAGACCGTATATGTTGGTATTTATTTGAATCGGGTAGAATCTGTAATAACCGGTTCACAGAAATGAGTCTCATTCCATACACAAAAGTTGCAGCAACATTTCATTGAAAACCGTATTTTAGTCAAAATAAAATACATTAAGATAATGAAAAGAAGCAATCTTGTAGAAAATGCATTTATCAATGATTAAGCTAAGTGGGCAAATCTATATAGCTTGAAATATAGGCAATACCCGATTCGCCGCAGTTTCGCTTTTGCAACAAGAGTCTCATTCCATACACAAACATGTTGCTAATTCCATGCACACATACCCTTGGGGAAATGGATGTTATAGAATTGTGAACACGTTTGCCTTCCAAGGCTCAGTAGGTATCAGGATCGAGATAAATATATACAAGATACTAATAAGGTACTTGAATATGTCTAAAGAATATCAATTTGAGAAAAGTTCTTAATAAATTACGTTTGATCTTCATATAAAATTAGCGAAATAGGGTGTACAAAGGCTATACACGCACCACGTCTTCAAATACCAGCAACATTGCGACTCTTTTTTTTGTTGAACTTTTTCGTTTAACCCTTTTTTTACAAAAAATACAATAAAAGCAAGGATTAAAAACTATCCAATCTTGTAGAAAATTGATTCATCAATCGTATAAAATTATGATGGCATGGCTGAATGTTTTATTTAGCTAGTAATATTCAACGGAATATCAAAAACGAGGAATATGTAAAATAGAACTTGACTTCTTCAGTATATTCACGGTATATTTTTAAAACGAGACGGTATATGTCGGTATATTTCGGCATATTTTATCGATAAATCCGCGGGCACACTGCTCTACAACTTGTAGCAAAAACTTGTATTTATACGAAAATTTTGAAATTTTTAAAAACGAAAATTGAAACGAATTAAAACAATAAATCGAAGTGAAAATGTAAACGTTGTGTTTGCTTTTGAAATGAAATCCATTTAAAATGCATTTCAACACACAAACTCGCTGTGAAAATTTCGTACAGGCAGAAAAGAGCCGATTTTTAGTGGAAGAAGAAGCACCACCATCAGCAGCAGCCGAACGGGCAGCAAAAGCAATCGTCGAATACACGGACAAAGCGCAAGGCGAATGAAACTCGTGTGAAGAGAAAACTTGCAAAAATTACAGCAACAACAACAGCAGCAGGCGAAAAAGTGTGTTTAGAAAAGAAATTAAAAACACTCACATATACATACCCACATAAAAACACACGAATACAAGTACACCCCGAAGAGAATTGGTGCAAAAAGCAACAAAAATAAAAACGAAGTAAAATAGCGCGCGGTTTAATAATAAATAATTATATGTATGCGCGCAAAACAAATGAAGAGCCGGGGAGCCGCAAAGACAAATACGAATACGAAAAATCAATGAGATTGTAATAAAATTCCGTATTTTTGCTCCTCCTCCCTCTCTCTCTCTCTTTCTCTCTCACTCGACTCACTCTCTCGCTGTCGTTGTCGTTCTCGCTCTCTTGTCCGCACGAGCAGAGCACTGCCACAGCAGCCTCTCAAATTGTGTGTCTGTTTGTGTTTCTTGTTGATTTTGTGATAAAATTGCAATCAACAACATACACGGTACAACAAAATAAGTGTATTTAAACAAAAGTATTAAAAGAAAAGAGTAACGAAAGGTGCGTATGCAAGAATAACAAACAACCATCTGTGAGTTTGTGACAGTGTGCAGTGTGTGTGGCAAAAAGTAGAACGTGCGAGAGAAAACCCGCGTACCAAATTTGATGACGTCTCCAACCTAGACACAACGGCAAACCGAATCGACAACAACAATGGTGAAATATCGGTAGTAATGTAGTTTTTTGTCCTACTACTGTTTGCGGGGACACAGGGACAGAGGAAGCGGCAGGGCAGCTTCAGCGACAGAAACGCCAGCAGTGAAGCAAGCAAGCATCAGCCGTTGTAGAAGAAAAGAGAGAGATGGACCGGTATTTTGTAGTCAGTGCAAGCCAGAACAGAAACGAACCTCGGGCTTGGCCCTGCCAGAACAGAACCTCTTCTCTGCCGTCAGTTGTTGGATTTTTAGAGCCCTGGGAACTCACTCTCGAGGTTGATTAACAGCCCGAAAAGGGGAACAGAACAGAACAGAACAGCCAGCCATCACATCACAAAAAAGTGTAGCCACTTTGCATGAAGAGCTAGAAAGAAAAAGGTGTACTTGCCTTCCCAGTTTGCTCTTGGATAGCTCTCTGGGTATGGTATGGGTAAACCTTATTTGGTTTCATAATAGATTTCTGATAACATCTGGCCAATGATAACAGCTGACAGTCTCCCAATAAACACCATAAACTATATTCGAGTGAGTTAGAGTGCATGGCTGGAGGCATGCATGCTATTTCACACATGCGAGGCTCACTTCATACGTATTTAATGACTATATTTAAGAGGTTCTGTGAAGTCTCCATTAGATATTCGATATTCGTGGCCCTGGACCTAGTAACGGATGCACCTGCCTTGTAAAGCCAATTGGCCTTATCGCCACGCGCCCTGTCTCTCTCTCGCGGTGCTGTTGTCACCCATTCACTCACTCAGTCACTCACAGTGGTGTGTTAATAAAATGGGGAGCAGCAGCTCCCTAGACGAATTTTGATTTGAATAGCCATTTGACAGCGGGAGCCTCATACAGTAGACAGACAGATTACGTTGCCTGCTGCTGGTCTGGCCTGGCCTGGCCTTTTGCTACCTACGAAACGACCAAACGGAGCAGCCAAGAGCATCACTCACTCACTCACCTGGCGACGAACAGCGACGCACAAAAGTCTGTGCGAAAAGTTCGCGTACATTTAAAAAGATTCTATCAACTATATTTAAATCGCGCGTGTTTTATATTATTAAATTTACAGTGTTTACTTTGACAATTTAGAACTAAACGTAAAATATTAACTAAAACTTCAACAATAGATAAGCCAAAGTGAACCATAATTGTTGGCAGTCAGTGTAGCACTTGTGCCGTTTTGTCGACAATGCGCGCGCTCCCTCTCTCGTACTCACGCAAGTACACACACTCATGCACGGACACGCACATGAATACATATATACAAATTTGCAACACACATACATACAATGTCGCTCATTTTGCCCTCTCTCACTCACGCTCTCTTTCTCTCTCTTTGGTTTTTTTCTGTTTTTAGTGGTTGTGCAAGAAGAAGCAGCAACAATCAGGCAAAAAAATACCTGAAAAAAAATAAACGGTAAAACGAAGAAGTGGCGACACACAGCGGAGAGCGCGCTAAAAGTTTATTGTAAAAAAATCGCAAAAAGTTAAAAAGCACAAAGTGTGTTTTATTTTTCATTTGCAAAGAAATACAATAACAACAATTATATTAAAAATGGTGGAAGTAATAGAGCGGCAGAGAACGGCTGCGTGAGCTCAAAGCGCGGCCAATTAAAAAACAACAACAACAGCAGCCGCAGCGAGCACCAGCAGAGCAGCCACTGAAGCCAAAAGCAGAGGCAGAAGAAGAGAAGCTGCAGAAGCAGAGCAACAGCAAGAGCAGAGCCTCGAAAAAGTACATAAAAATATATAAATTTAAATAAAGTGGAAGTTGGTAGAAGCCAACCACCAGCGAAAGAGCGAAAGCAAACGAAGAAGCAAGCGAAAGGAAAAGCAAAGAAAACCACCTTACCAGCGAGCAGCGACCAGCAAGCAGCAAGCAGAAACATCACATAAACATAAACCAACAAAACCGAAGAGACCAACAAAATGTACGGCAAATCAAAGACATCCGCGGTCCCCTCAGATGCCCAGGCACGGGAGAAGCTGGCCCTCTACGTCTACGAATATCTACTGCACGTGGGCGCGCAAAAGGCGGCGCAAACATTCCTCTCCGAGATCCGATGGGAGAAGAACATAACGCTCGGCGAGCCGCCAGGATTTCTGCACACCTGGTGGTGCGTCTTCTGGGATCTGTACTGTGCGGCGCCCGAGCGTCGGGATCAGTGCGATCACAGTTCGGAGGCCAAGGCCTTCCATGATTACGGATTCGTCAGCTCCGGCTATGGCGTGAATGGCATTGGACCCGGCGGACCACACAATGCCGGCGGTCCGGCGCCGAGCCCTCTGGGACAGATGCCTCCCGGCGGCGATGGCGGTCCCATGGGACCCGGCGGACCTATGGGTCCAAATTTTTTCCCAAATTCAACAATGCGGCCGTCGCCGCCAACGCATGCATCCAGTCCGCAGCCGCCGCCGTCACAGATGATGCCCGGCCAGCCGCCCTTTATGGGCGGACCCCGATACCCTGGTGGTCCGCGACCAGGCGTGCGCATGCAGGGAATGGGTAACGAGTTCAACGGCCCGCCCGGACAGCCAATGATGCCGAATAGTATGGATCCGACAAGACCTGGCGGCGGCATGGGTCCCATGAATCCACGCATGAATCCGCCACGTGGTCCCGGTGGCATGGGACCTATGGGCTATGGCGGGCCCGGCGGAATGCGTGGCCCAGCACCCGGACCCGGCGGAATGCCGCCCATGGGCATGGGCGGAGCGGGCGGAAGACCGCCGCAATGGCAGCCCAATGCGTCGGCGCCTCTGAATGCGTATTCATCATCATCACCAGGAAATTACGGACCCGGCCCCGGCTCGAACGGTCCACCCGGACCAGGAACGCCCATAATGCCCTCGCCGCAGGATAACACGCAAGGTGGTCCTGTCGGCGGACCCGGCGACAGTATGTATGCACTTATGAAGCCAGAATTCCCCATGGGCGGCGGCCCAGATGGCGGGGGCGGCGGAGGAGGTCCCGGCGGCATGGGTCCAATGGGTGGTGGCCCCAACTCGATGGGTCCTGTACTTAATGGCGGCGGTGGCCCCGACGGCACCGGTCTGGATGGCATGAAGAACTCACCAGCCAACGGGGGACCGGGAACGCCACGTGAGGACTCTGGCAGCGGCATGGGTGACTATAATCTCGGCGGGTTTGGCGGCCCCGGCGAGAACGATCAAACCGAATCGGCGGCCATACTGAAGATCAAGGAGAGCATGCACGAGGAGGCCAAGCGGTTCGAGAAAGACTCAGATCAACCGGACTACTTCATGCCATAACAACATCATCCACATCATCATCACCAGCAGCAGCAGCAACTTCATCAGCAGCAGCAGCAACAACAGCATCTCAATACGGTGGCAGCCGCTGTGGCAGCTGTTGTGGCAGCAGCTGCATCCAATGGCACGGCGGGCAGCCCCTCGGCGGCATCCATAGCAGCGGCAGCCCTTGGGGCGGCAGCCTCCAATCTGCTCAGTAGTGGCAACAACAATTTCTAAAAACAAAAACAAAACAAAAAACCAAGCATAAAACAAAAGCGGTAGTAAAAATCCTTGATACATAAGCATAAAGTAATTAAAATTAATACATGTATGAGAAATAGAGAAACCCTTAAATATAATAGACTAAAAGGCAAACAACAATTTGTAAAATGTAAAACTGTATAACGATAAAAGGATCAAACGGACAAATCTGTTCCCAGTTCCGGTTCCGGTGACTGTACCGCACCCCCACTGCACTGTAATTTCCACTTGTATTACTCGCTGTTGATTTTAGATAAGTTCGTTTTGTTGTTGTATTCTATTTTTAATATTATTTGTCATAAATTCAACTTGAAAATGTCCCAGAAATGCAGGACAGGAAACAGTGCAGTGAGGTTAGGGCAGAATGAATGATGAGCAGATTGACGTCTGGCAACGCTGTCAGAGCAGCAGAGCAGGGAAGCAAGCCCCCTCCCCACCCAGAAAGGGAACGAACAGGCACAGAGAAACCCAGCCGGGAGTAATCATAAAAAGAGAGAAACAAAAGCAAAAATACTTAAAGTAATGTTAAAATATGCAACAAGTCTAGCAAGTCTTCTGTTTAGTTCACACTCTACTCTCTACCCCTCGAAACAGCCGCTCAAAGCTGTCTCTCAAGCATCCCTATCCTATCGCCCACTATTTATACCAATTTACTTGCTTACTAAACGAAAAACCCATAATCGCAAATGAATTTTTTGTTAAGCAAGGCGCAACAAAAGATCGCTTATGGCATAAAATGATTGAATGAATGAATGGAATATTTATAACGATATGCATAATACACATAGTTGAGTATATAGCTAGCATTATTGGACATGTATTTGTATAGATTGTAACACACGTTCTTAAAAATGCTCTCCCCCGATTGATTTTTGCACAATGGGCACAGTGTCTAGCAGATCGGTTCTTCGCTCGTTCGGCCCCGTTCCGTTCTTGTCCCACATAATATTCTCATCTTTAATTCTCATTGTACAAATTGTAAACTTGGCACTTTGCTGCCGCTATTTATTTTATGCTTTCATTCTTCATTCTGTATCTTGTCTGTCGATCTGCTGGTTCGTTTGTTTGCTTAAGGTTTTGTTGTATTGTTTTTTCTTTGCGTTTGCTCTTTCTCTCATGTGTATGGGTATTTATAATTTAACCAAACAACTAAAACGAAAACTGTTATTTAAGTTCCTTTTAACAGCGAGCAATACCATATTTATATATATATGCGATATGATATAATATGATATGTATGACTTCCCCCCTCAGTTTTTGGAGATCGGCAACAGTTTGCACTTGTTTCGATTTCCTCACGGCATTGTGTGCATTAGGACACCATAAGAAACTTATATAGAAATCTATATATACACCCGTATATATATATATATATACATATAGACCAGAAACCGATACAGATTGTAGCCTATTGTATGCACTAATTTATTGCAGAATAGCTACGCGAATAACTATAAGATTTAGCTGTTTAATATGCATATGCAAATATATATATTATATATATTTCTTAAAGGCAGCAAAGGCAACCACAAATGTAGAAACCTAAAAAACCTAACCCCAATGCAACGTTTAATTCAAAAATATCACATTCAATTAAAAAACAAAATGAATGCTGTACAAAACAAACAATATTTATAAAGTACATAGAATATATATATATATATATATATATATATTGTATATGTCTGTGCTTGCATCTATATCCCCGATACAGCACATTTCGCATTCATAATGATGGATGCTATGATGGAGGAGCAGTAGAAGGGAAAATCCACCCGTATAATAGCATTAGATTCGAAGATAATTTATAAGCCCCAAATCAAAAGGAATATAAATAAAGAAAATACATTACATTTCTTTATAATACAACAAACACCACACACATACTAACACCTTCACACACACACACGCAAATCAATTGATAAAATAATTTAAAGAAAGAAAAAAAAATGCGAAAAAAATCTATTTTAAATATTGTATATGTTTAATGTGTCGGAATTTAAAAAAAAATATGTACGAGAGACAATTTATAGTATATGCTGCATTGATTTAAATCTAAACGATGTGGCATGCCGCATCCATGATGCGTCAAGCGAGAAAAACTTAAATAGTAATTAAGTTAAATTTATTTACTAACGCTTACGGTTTAAGCGTTTAAATTGCTGGATCTATATTAAAAGAATAAAACGAAACAAAACAAAACAAAACAAAACAGCAAGCAAACATATATGTATGTATAATGGCGCGGAATTATAAGTAAAACAAAAGTATAAATGCCCCCCAACCCTGTCCCCCTCCCCCCACCCAAAACAACAAATGAGAAAAACAAAAAAATGGCAAAAACGTAACCCAGAAAAAAAATCAAAAAAAAAAACGAAATGAATACAAAACAAACCGATTGAATATGGAAATATGTTTAAATAAGTATTTTAGTGTTAATTATACAATTTACAAGTACACAACACAAACAAAACAACAACAACAATATAATATAAAATGAAATAAAGTTTTAAAACAATATTTGTAAAAAGTAAAAAAAAAATATCTAATGTGGTTTTAATTTGTTTTTGAATTGGAAAGCAATCAGATCAATAGATATAAGAAAAAAGAACCCAGACTCTGTCCGTCTGCAACTGTTTTCTCCAAATAATAATGGGCTTTGGAATGGTACTATTTATGGCATTTTCCACTCTTGTAGATAATGGTTTTGTTCATTGCAATCACAGCTGGAAATCTGGCGGGGCCGATCTCTTGGAAAAGTTGTCTGTTTTTGTTATAATTGAACAATTTGGCAGCAAAGTGCGTGCGGCATGTTATCAGGCCCGTGTCTCGGTAACCACAGACAGACAGGGCCAATTGGCCCGGCACACGAACGTGGCTAATGAATGGACAGTGCAGTTTAGTGTCGGAGGAGAGTCGGGTGGCCAGTCGAGGAATACATTGGGTTGTCGGGGCAACCGGCCCGCTCGATGGGGGCCCATACAAATTGAGCAGTTAATTACACTTTCAGCGGACAGTGGTCAGTAGTGATAGGAGCGTTGCGGCTAATGCTGCACAAGGCAAAAAATCGATAAAGCAGCGGCCAGGGAAGGCAAGGGAAAATGCATGTCCATCAAATTGCACTGAAGAAATCAGGCCTTGCAAGTTGCAAATACTCGCATTAATGCAACAAAGTGGCGTCGTCCTGTTTCCACACTTGCATGGGACTGGTGCGCACTGCTGTTGGCGCCGCAGGGGACAGACAGCCGCCGGCGGAGACTGTAGCCTCGGTGAACCATTGCCCGACCTATCGACAGATTGCTGGTGCCACAACTGGAGCCGGTTCGGCGCCGGCCAAGCGAGTTCCCATTCTGTTCTCCACCAATCGTGGACTCTATCTGCGTGTCGCCCAACCTGTTGGGGATCAGGAGGTGCTGACACTGCAGCCACGGGGGCAGAACTACAACATCAGTTTCTGTGACCTAGAACGCTGGGTGAGCCAAACAGCCAAGCTAGTGCAGGGCAGTTCAGAGATTACCGATTCTTCTGTCTTCTTGCAGAGCACCAATCGCGCTAATGTTGTTAGCCTCGAGGACACCTTCACCATCACCCATCAGCGAAATATGACACCGGAGGTGCACTTGTATCAGCCGAGGCTATGGAACAATCACGTCAGCTACAGCCTGATGCACTGATCCCCACGGATTCATCTCTCTGAATATAACTATATACATATTTATTTAACAAATGAAGTCTAATCTACATTACTGGATCTATTGAATTTAAGGAGTACTAGCTGCTGGGGCCTTCGACTGGAAACTTGGGGAATATTACGCTATATTTTTAATTTAGTTTGTTTGAGAAATTTGTTTCCTTGAGAGGGGTTTCTTAAGTAGTCTGTTGGGCGATGTGTTCGAAAAATGTACAACCTTATGCTATATAAGAGACTGCAGGTATCCAGGAGGTCCACGTCGTTCCCGTGAGGATGAACGAATGAACGTCCCGCATGCCCTTCTGCCGACGACAGACTGTAGTCTGATGTGAAATCAGTTGGGCTTTATGGCTAAAGAATGCCCATTCCGAGAGTTTCTTTTCGTCGAGGTGTAGCTTGATTCGATTTTGTATGTCCCTACCATTGAAAGGGGTAAAGAGCATAGATGGTGCAAGTCTCCTGCGTCTTCCATTGATTCCTTGGTGGCTGGGAGCCCACAGTATGGTGCTTTTTGTTAAGTGAGAGCTTAAAATTTGTCTTATTTCCTGGATTGTTGTGATTTGTTGTGATCCCACTTCCGTAAAGAGGATGTTGCGGATAGGCTGTCCATGCAGATCAACAATTTACAAGTTTTGGGAGCGAAATGGTAGGGTTTCGGCGATGAAGGTGGTTGATAGGTCGTCTATTGTTGAAATTATACGCTGCATGTCTTGTTTTTGGCGGCGTTGTAGATTTGCTTGTTTTTTATAGGTCCAATAAATTAATATAAATATTAGATCGATAGATAGCCTTAATTATAATTCTTTTACTTTTAAAATTCCTTAAACAGAGAACTAAATCGAGTTACGAACAATATTTATATTGGTTAGGCCCTATTGCATCCTTAGGCCGTATTGCTGGTGAGTGAGGCCATCAGAAATTCCATTTTGTTCAGGAAACTCTTGCCCTCGATTTTATCAAACTTCACCTGACAAAGATTGAGAAAATATTAGCAAATATTAGAGAATATGAGACTAGAGCTGAGACCTACCTCCTTGAAATTGCCACCCAGATTCTCCCACAACTTCTCCGGCACCAAAGGACTGGGAAAGAAGTCCTGTCGCGGACTTCTCGCTATGTAAACCTTAACATCAATTTGAGGATCGCAGCGTATTTGAACGGCTATCATGCGATCACCATTCGGGGAGGCCAGAAGGCAGGAACTGGCATTGCCCAGAGGCTCCACCTTGCCAATGCCCAGATGATTGCTATTCGAGAGCACCGTCCAGGCCATGCAGCGGGCCAGGCTGACCAAGCAGGAGATTTGATGAGAGTTTATTTGGCAAAGTATCAGGTCACGCAGCTCCTGCGGCTCATAGGACAATCGCATGACGCGTCCGTCACGACAGATGCACTTCAGTGAACGCTCCTTGACATGGATAACGAGCGAAGTTCGCCCAATGGCATCGTAGCCGTGAGTAACTATGTTGATCTTCACACAGGACATGGTGGGACTGTTCATGGCATTCCAGTGGGAAACAATCTGGGGATCCTTTACATCCCTCGCCAGCGTATCCAGCACGTACTGAGTGCGCTTGCGCATGAAGATATGCTGGGCCTGGGCAATGATCTGTTCCAGTATGGTCTGCGATTTGGTCATGTCCAGGAGCGTTTCACGATCGGCAGCCATGGGACCGGCCAGCATACGCTTCTTCGTTGGACCCAGTGGAGCACTTGCCGGATGGGGGAACGGATGGTGCGAATTCTTGTAGTGAACTTCCCGCAGCAACTGGTGAAGGGAATGCTCCAGCACATGATCGTGATCGTTAATCGGAGCCGGTTGGTTGGAGTCAAAGGTGGTGGAGTGGCACAGGGAGATGATCAGTTGAATATTGGGCAGCAGGGTGGCTCGGATCTGATTCCCAATGACCACATGCGGAATAGGCGCCTGCAGCTGAATGGCCTCGCGTGCCAGCTGTGCGAAGAGCTCCTTGCAGAAGAGAACGTTCTGGGCAAACTCCAGCGTCTTCTGCCAAACGCCAACCTGAGCGGTTATGTTAGGACCGTGTCCCATCAGATTCACCTGTGCTGTGCATAGATCCTCTTGGTCTTTTTGCGTGATGACTTTAATGTAGGCCACACCTTGCAGCTCAGCCGGTACAATTACCCTCAGAGCGGAGCTGGCCTTCATCTGCATGCCATTGTTGGTGGCTGTGCTGCTGCTGGTAGTCGAGGTGCTGGCACTGTCGTCGTCGGATGCCTCCTCCGCCTTGGTTACCTCGAAGGTGCCGCTCATTCCGAATTTCGATCCCGCTGTGCGGTAGCTGAGATCTCCTATGATCGCATTGGATACCTTCTTCAAGCGCCAGTTTTGACGCAGGCGCAACAGTTCTATGTGAAAGTCGGACACGTTCCGGCTACGCTGTTCGCTGTGGGCATTGCGAAGACGCTCGGCGCCACTCAGCAAAACCTGGGCCGCTTGTGAGATAGCCTTTTTCCGACTATAAACCTGAACAATGGGCTTTGTATCGTCGCCCTCCTCCAGCAGAGGATCTAGCACCAAATATCGCTTGTCCTTGGCTATGGAAATCACATCGGATAGCACACAGATTTCGGTCAGCGCATCTTTGAGCTTGTTCCGCACGGCATCCCAGGGCCAAAGGCTCTCCTGGAACTGAGTACCATCTTTGTTCTCTTCCTCAGCAGCTGCGGCTGTCTTCTCCTCCTTCTTCAGATCGTCCAGCGATGTTTTGCTGAAGTCTATGCGGGCCGCACACTTGGCCAGGCTCTCGGATAGAGTCGGCGGTCTGAAAAGTTCATCAACAACTTGTTGAGAAAAGCCAGTTTCACTCAAATCGAGCACTTACGGTTGGTACAACTCGGTGCCATCATATCCAATCTCTCGTATCTGGTTCTCGCAAGTGGTTTCCACCGATATATTCACAGAATTGGACATTTTTGTTGACGAATTTGCCGGAAAACATTGGCAAAAAAATGCAAGCAAGAGGTAGAGTTGCCAAGCGTCTGCGGTTGCCAATCGATAAAGGAGACTATCAGTAATCGGTTTATTTCAATGGTATTGATATTAAAAAAAGTGGCTGGAAATAATGCAATTTAATTATTCAATTTGCGACAAATATTATGGGTAGTTTTTAAGCTTGCAAACCATTTATTTTAGAATAGTAAGCATACGGTAGAGTTGCCATCAGGTTTATTGTGGCTGTCCGGAACATTTTACAACACTAAAACATTACTTTCATATTTTCTGACTTCTCATTTTGGACTCCAACCGAAATAAATAATATTATTATGTTGTTTCTAAAGAGTAAGGAAGAGACGTTGGATGTGACTGATTACACTGTCATTATACCCAGCATATGTGTGGGAAATGCGGCTCAACTCGCCTGCGACCTGTTGATTGCCTCCAAACAGCTCAAGCGCATTGGATCCGTCACCCATCCAGCGCTCATACCGGTCTTCGGTCCATCTGCCTACCAGCATGAACCCAACGAGAAGGTCTCATCGTGTGAGCTGTACGAGGGAGTCGAGGACAAGCTGCTGGTCATACAGTTCCGGGCACCGTGGATCGCGCGACACACACGCAACTTCCAGCAGCAATTGGTGGAGCTCATCAAAGGTGCCAAGCGAGTGATCATTCTCAGTGGCAGCTTTGGCTTTGAGAAACGGGTTATTGAGGCATCGCCCTGGGCCTACCGTGCCAGTGAGAATTTTAAGCTGGCCCACGCTGCCCAGCTTGGCAATCCCGATCTCATCAAGTGGAAGGAGCACACCGGAGAGGCTATCTATGGAGGCGGCAACGCCTTGCAGTTGTTCAAGGCCTTCGATGAGGCTCAAGTGCAAGTCATGCTGCTGTTCCGCTACCTAATAGAGGGCGACAACTCCACAGATGCCAGTCTGATCGTGAGAGAACTGAACGAACTGTGCGAGGACTTCCTTCAGCTACGCGGCGGTGGCGATGGCAGCTTCAAGCTGACCGTCCCCAAATCCTGGAACTTGCTCTTTGGCAACGATGTAACAGAGTTTCTATTCTAGTTGTGTATATTTTGGACAAATAAATGTTAATCTTTCGGTGTAGGATAAAAGAGATTGCTAGCACGATGCTCCCTGAAATATTCACTGCCGTGTTCCTGGTAATCCTTGCGCGTTGTCAGCGTCTGACCAAAGTTGGGCTGACCGGCCTGGACGCAGGCACCCAGCCAGGCGCTCAGCGTATGATCATCCGATTCGTAAATGGAAAACTTCGACTGGAAAGGACGCATTTCCAGAAACTCCCTGGCCAGACGCTCTTTGAGACCACGGAACTGAGCACAACCCCCGGTTAGATAGACGTGCTCTACCATGCGCTGCTGTTCCTGGGCGGTGAAGAGCTTCAGCACAAAGGCTATCAGCTCCGCCAGGCCCGCCTCCGGGGACCCAATCATGCTTGGCTGAAAGAGAATCTCCGGCACACGGATATCCTCGACACCGAAATGCAATTGATAGTTTTCCGCTGCGCTCTGGGTCTGCACCGCATTGCCATCATCAAAGTTCACGTCGTAGTGGCTGAGAATTTTCTCGAACTCCAGCAACTGCTCGTTGTCGGCATCCGAATCGCTGTCGTCGTTATAGCGATTGATGCGCTTGTACACGTCCCAGTCGTTGTCGTTCATGCCAAAGCCATCGTCCTCCTCCTCGCCATTGGCCTTGCGACGTTTCTCGCTGCGCGCCAGCGTCGAGATGATACGCATCCGCTCCTGCGCGGCATGCGTGTGCCGTTTTCCCTGCTCCTGTCGCTGCTGCTGGCGGGTCTGTTTGCGCTGCAGTAGCTGCTCACGCTTGCTCTGTAGCTCGGCCAACCAATCCGCCTGGGATACGCCCTCGGGGGCCTTTGGCATTTTGTCAATTTTTTCCTGCTGCTTGCTGGGCTTCGGTGAGCTCAGGGGACGTTCCTTGATGCGCTTGATGCGATTACTAATTGTGCTGATGAGCGAGTCCAATTCATCCAGATTGCCAATCTGCTGCTGGGCCAGAGCCAGCTCGAACTTCTGCAGCTTATCCTGCTCATAGAGCTGTCGAAGTTTGTTGTACACAAACAATTGTTGCTCATCCTCGAGCAGCTTTTCGCCCTCCCTACGATTCTTAATCTCCAGCAGGCGCATCGCCAACTCGCGACGCTTCTCCAGCTTCTGCTCGGCTGTGAGCAAAGCGTTGGTGGCCGTGACTGGATTGTATGGCAGCTGGATCTTCATGATGTGCTCCTCGTAATAGTCTATTTGTCCCCATTTGAGCAGCTCCTCCCTGTAGTCGACAGCAATGTGGCAATGCTCGTGGACCAGCTTCTCCATTCGGCTAATGGAGATGGCATTCAGATGCACGGGATACTTCATTTGCATCAGACACAGCAAATATGTGATAATGTGATAGCCTCCGACATTCAGGCGACGCACATGCTGCAGCTGGAGCTTGCCATTCAGCACTGGGATCACGTGGGTGGTGCTGTAGCCAAAGGAGATGATGAGGGCATCCGATACCTGCAAATATAACTCTTTAATCAATCAAATCACACATTTTTGACGGTGGCTGTGTCAACCTTCTTGCGACGATTTTGATAGTGCTCCCAACTGTAGAGGGCATCGATGCCATACGAAACGGCTGGAATGCCATAGCATTCAAAGAGCAGTTCGCTCATGTTCTGGCGGCAGAAGTTGGGATTGGCCAGCGCCTCGGTCAGCACAATCGGATTTGCTATGCTCTGCTCTCCCTCGAAGCCCATTTTGGTGAAAATATAATCAAAGATCTGCTCCTGATGGTTCCAGTTGGTTATGATGTTCCTCTCGAATGGCGACTTTAGATGAGCCCGCACTGCTTCGATGTTGGTTATGTCATTGCCGACTTGTATTTCGGCTGGTACCTCAGCTGCGACTGGAGTCGGGGCACCGTCTGTGGTGTCCGGAATGGCTTCCTTCTTTCTATCTTTGCGAGGTTTGGTCAAGACGTTTCTGAATCGTAGCGCTGGCTCCTTGGTGTTGTTCCAGCCTACACGGCATTCGTATGAACCATTGTCTATAACCAAAACGCGCTTCGGCGAACCCATTTCGATGCTTTTATAAAGGAACTAGCAATTTCAATATGCGGTACAATCAAGGTAAATAAATGCCGCAAACTCAAGTGTTGGAAGGTGCACTTAGCTTCCGACACCATACAGCGCCAATCTTGCTTGCAAGGCATGACAACCCTGAAATATAACTGTAAGTGCAAAATTTTCCGCGTGCATTCTTTTAATTTATTTAAAAAATGTACGTAAAATTTAAGTTGGAGACTGAGGGAAACTCAACGGTGAGCAATAAATAATACTGCATAGTTGACACAGTATAATGCCAATAATTTCTTCGCAGCTGCCGCTACTTTTGCCAATAGATGATGATGCGACAGTTTATGAGTTGAAGCTGCTACTGGAACCGTCCATAGGCATCCCAGCAGATCTGCAGCAGATTTACTCGCTTGGAAAAACCATTGGCGACCAATGCAAGTTGTCTGCAGTCCTGGATTATCAAGTGGCTGAAATCAACGGGACGGCTGTCTCGCTGTACAAAATGAAGGAATTCGTCTGCGTTCTGCAATTCCAGTGCTACAATCAGAAGAAAGGAGAACCGGAGACTAGAAATTTGACCATAGAGAAAGAAAAAAGGTAATTAAACCATTCCCTCTAAATACAAACGAATGTGTCTAAAATGTAATACTCAGGGCGCGTCTTTCCAAGGAGAATTTGGACGATCCAGTAAATACGGCAATTGTACCAGAGACAGAGAAAGCTACATGTTCTTCTGGGTGTATTAGAATCGAGCCTCACGGGTCTCATATTACCCAACCTGGAGTTGCTAAGGACACCACAGGTGTGAAGGATACAGCCGAAACAGTAGTTGCATGTAGCGCAAAAAAAAGACTGAGCGAAGATGACGAACTTATATATGCCGGTGTAATGCCAGAAAAGCGTAAATTTGTTTTGGTGATCAATGAAACCGACTCAACGTCTGGATTCGACTCTCTTATGGACCATTTTCATGGGCTCTTTGACAAATTCGAGGACTGCGATACCCTCCAGTTCAGCGAAAGCGACTCTGTAAATGTATTTGGTAATAATTTAATGATTATATCTGAGGATAAGAAAACCTGTGAGTGGATAGCCAATGGTACAAGCACCATTTATCCCCGTTACAAATGCTTCAGCATTATCGAGTTTTTTGGCTTGATAAAGTGCTCTTTTATACTGCCCATCATTGGAAAGGACAAGGAATTGGGCACTATTTTCAAACTTTTCGAGCAGCAGAACGTTGGAATAGTGACGGATAAGTGGATTGTGACGGATCGAACTATGTTGGATCCCAAGAGCGACGATTTTGCCGAAAAAGCAGCTTCAATCATATTGGATAACCAGGAAGTTGTGCTCTACGTTGATCGTGAGAGCAAAACATCTATTGCCGAGCAGGGCTTCAAGCTTAAATACTGCTTTTGGCGCCTACAATTTACATTCTTTTAAATGTATTTGTTTAAAACCTCCTCGTCGTCGTTTCAAAAATTAAATCCGAAAAATAATTAAGGAACGAACAAAAAAAATTCTAACATAAATACAAACAAGACAAATTTAAGAACAATGTTTTAATTAAATTTGCAATAATTTATACAATTTATATTTTTGTAATTAATGCACTGCTTGCTACTTGTTAGTTTGACTACTTGCCTTGAAATGTTTTGACAGATCTTGTTTCTTAAAATAAATAAAACTTTTAAACTACGATTATTGGATTTTACAAATTGGATTAATAAAATAAGATTTAATTCCGTTTAAATTTTGTTTCCCCCAATAAATGCACATTGTGTGTTTGTTTTGTTTTGTGTCATATCAGAATATCAGCGGCAAGAATTTGTTATGTTGGCAACCCTAATATTCGGTCAATAAGCAAAGAAGAAGAAGCAGCACAAAAAAAACTTCTTCGTGACTAAAAACCGAGTCGCAAAATCCTGGCTAAAAGTCTGGGCCCTGGGCCTTCCTCAGGCAATATCAAAACAAAAAACCAATCAATTGTAGCTAATCGATACCCGGGACAGTTCTAAAACGGCAAAATGGAACGAATCAATTTGGAAAACATTGATATTGCACGTCTGGAGGAGGCTGTTGTCGTATTCTATCGCTCAAACTCCCAAGAGCAGGCAATTACGCACGAATGGCTTACGGAGGCCGAGGGCAGCCCGCAAGCCTGGCAATTTTCATGGCAGCTAATGCAACTGGGCAAGGTAAGATATGTACATAGACCTGCGCATCAATTAATTCAATATGTATACTCGTGCATGCAAATGCATACACATGCCACGATGCTTGCACCTACTCAACTCTACTCTAAACTACTCTCTTCCCGCGCAGAGCCAAGAGGTGCAGTTTTTTGGCGCAATCACCCTGCACGCCAAGCTGATGAAGCACTGGAATGAAGTGCCGCCGGAGAATCGCGAGGAGCTCAAGCAAAAGATTCTCGAGAAAATTGTCCAATTTGCTGGCGGACCAAAGATTGTCCTCAATCGCCTGTGCATTGCACTGGGCGCATATATTGTCCACATGCTCGATGAGTGGCCCAATGCCATTGAGGAGGTGATTGATACCTTTCAGAACCAGCGCATACCCAATGTCAAGCCCGACGTCCAGCTCTGGATTATGCTGGAGGTGCTGACGGCCATACCAGAGGAGGCGCAGGTTATACACACCTCAGTGAAGCGGGTCACGTTGCGAGCGGAGGTCGGCAAGCGGGTTCCGGTCATTCTGCAGACGATGGAGGCATATCTGAGGCAGCAGATGAACCGCGTGTGGGATGCAGAGGCCTACAGCAACATGATACGAGCTGTCAAGTGCGTTGGCACTTGGATCAAGTGAGTGAAATGCACATTTCGCTATTGCATGCGGTAATTGTTGACTTGACTCTCTCGCCCCTTAGGAATATTGGCTACTCCCTGGAGGCTTGCGTGACCATTACGGCTGTCCTTTTGGAGGTGGTCAACAAGTGCTACTGGCCCGCCGTTCAAACTGGCGATGGCTGCATGTCCGCCGATGAGAATGAGCTGGCCGAGAACTGTCTCAAGTCCATGGTGAACATCATGATCCAGCCGGAGAGCCACAGCTATCCGAAGACGGCATTTGTTCTGCTGCGAATGTATCTGGACTCGCTCTGTGAGATCACAAAAATGGAGTGGAAGCGGGATAATGACAACGAGGACATCATCGTCCACATTTACATGCTGTTTGTGTCCGCCGTGGAGCGCCACTCCTCGCTGCTGCTGAGCGGCGTCATCTCGCCGGATCCGATTCTACCGATTACAGTGAATCGCATGGTGCAGGAGATTTTACACTGCACGGACAAGCCGGGCATCTATCCGGTTGAGGAATCCTGCAGCACCATGGCCCTGGCCTTCTGGTATATGCTGCAGGACGAGGTCTTCGCCATGACAAACGAGGAACACAAGCGCCGATGCTGGGAGTACATAAAGCCGCTGTACGCACACTTGACCAGCATTCTGGTGAGGAAATCGGAGCAGCCCGATGAGAAATCACTGGACAGATGGAGCTCTGATGATCTGGAATGTTTTCGATGCTATAGACAGGATATATCCGATACCTTTGTAAGTGCTTACTGAGTCAAATTCAAAGAAACATTGCTCATGCCTCCCCTCCTGTTACTAGATGTACTGCTATGATGTCTTGCACGATTACATATTGGTGATCTTGTCGGCGATGTTGGACGAGGCCATAGCCGATATGCAACGCCATCCGACGCACTGGACCAAACTGGAGGCCTGCATCTATTCGTTTCAATCGGTGGCCGAGCACTTTACCAACGACACTTCGAGACAAATTCCAAATTTGATGCGTGTCCTGAACGAGATACCATACGAGAAAATGAACGTTAAGCTGCTGGGCACGGCCCTGGAGACAATTGGTTCCTATTGCAATTGGTTAATGGAGAATCCCACCTATATACCGGCGGCCATAGATCTGCTGGTGCGCGGCCTCAACTCGTCCATGTCGGCCCAGGCCACGCTCGGTCTGAAGGAGCTGTGTCGCGACTGTCAGCTGCAATTAAAGCCATACGCCGAGCCGCTGCTCAATGCGTGCCATGCGTCGCTCAACGCCGGGCGCATGAAGAACTCGGACTCGGTGCGGCTGATGTTTAGCATTGGCAAATTGATGAGCCTCTTGCCGCCCGATGGTATACCCAAGTACTTGGACATAATAGTCAGTCCATGCTTTGAGGAGTTGCAGGCCATTTGCCAATCCGATGGAGTAAGTGCAACCAAAATCCACTACCCCTGAAATGTATGAATACAAAAAGGCTTCTTATATTCCTACAGAAAACTCCCACGGCACGGATTCGCACAATTTTCCGTCTCAACATGATCTCCACTCTGTTTTCTTCATTGAATACCGATTTGAGTGAAGAGGACAAGGAAATACAGATTGTCCAGCCCGTTTTGTTGGTCATGCAAAGAACAATGCCAATTTTTAGGCGCATTGCCGAGATGTGGGTGGAGGAGCTAGATGTCTTAGAGGTAAAAAGATTGGTTTACCCCATATGCTGGATGCACTAAATGCTATAAATCATACTCGTTCTTAACTTATAGGCCGCCTGTAGCGCCATGAAGCATGCCATAATGAACCTAAGAAGCAGCTTCCGGCCCATGCTGCAGGATCTGTGCTACTTTATTGTGGCCAGCTTCCAGACACGCTGCTGTGCACCAACGCTAGAGATATCCAAGACAGTGCGTACTCTCTCTATCTCTCTGTTGGAAATCATTTAATTTAGTTTCTCTTCCGCAGACTATTGTCATGTTTTACAGGGAAGAGGGCTGTAAGCCCTATATGCAAGAACTTCTGCGGGAGTTTATCAAGCACAGCTTCAAGCTATTTGAGAACACGCCACAGCAGAACTTCTCGAATATATCGGACACCATGGAGGCCTTCTTTGGCTGCCTGGCTCAGATTGTGAAGAAAATACCTCAGGCATTGGAAGACAAGACACTGGCCTACGATCGCCTCGTCTACTACGGCCAGCGTTGCATGACGCTGCCCGAAAGCGGTGCCATACGCTGCGGCATACAGTTCATGACACACTTTACGATTCAGTCGCGCAACCACGAACACATCACCGAGGTCGTGTTGAAAACTGGCGAACAGACCGTGTACTTCATCATGATGTGCGTGGGATATTTGACGCCACGCTCGCAGGTGGACAAGTTTGCCGATATCATATTGGCCTTTAACAAAAAGTATCCTGCGGAGCTGGCCATCTGGCTAAAGACCGTGATGTCCGTCCCCCATTTCCCCACACCGCTATTAAACGATGCAGAAAAGTCGCGATATGTTTCTTTGATTATCAAGTGAGTGTGGCCTTAAAATTGATGCAGCAAAGTGCTTATAAACGACTTCTGTTTTACAGGGAAAAGGTGAACAAGCGGCTGCTGCAACAGCATCTGTCGGAGATGGCCATCAAGTTGCGCGGACTCACCGAAAAGTTCCAGTAAATGTGGAAGCCTGAAGCTATTTAGAGGCCAACCAAATCGCGCACCTTTGCTTTTCAAAACTGGATTCTAAATGTGTTTCTGTCCTGTGTCCCATGTATTTAGACTGTAATTTAGGCGACTCTGTAAATGTTCCTCGACCTTAAGTTGTTGTTACCGCACCTCCCACACCCGCCACCGCCTTAGTTTTTAACATCTCCAAAAACTCTCGACAAGACAAACTTTTATTTATAATTTTACAAAAATTACATGCTTTCATTTACAATTTTTTCCATAGGGTGTATAACTCATTTATATTTATTGTTTGTTTTATATTTTTTTAAATTTTTTTTATACATAAATATTTTATTATTCTTAAAATTTAGAAAGTTTCGATTTTTCACCATTTCCTCGTGTATGAAAAAAATCTGCCTTTCAAGTTTTTATGAATTTTTAATCCCCAGTTTTTTTCTAGACCTTGCCATTATTATTATTGTTTTGCAACTTTTCCCCATATCGTGTATGTATCTATAATGCCAAAAAATATGTAAATACATCTCTTTATATAATATATATATATATATACATATATATATATATATATGTATGTGTGTCTATAGCTAAACTGAAGCCTTTCGTTTTCTTGGCCTGTGTACAGCACTTGGTAGTGGTAGCAAAACTTTTTTGATCCAGCAGCTCCCTGCAACATGCAATCAATATCTTCTCATTTCATTAAGAATCATTTGAGAATATCCATCCGCTTTTTAAAGACAATGACTATTAAACCAAACAAATGGCTGACACGGATCCAGTATTATATATTTAGATTAATATATAGTATAGAAGTAGTAGCTACGACCAGCAATAGTCCAAGTCTGTTGTTGTTGTTGTTGATGAAGATGATGTTGATGTTGCGATGTGGATGATAATATAGAGGGTGTTCACTGTGCCTGGGACGCTTAGAAATTGGCACAATCTTTGGGTGGCAGCTCTCCCGATCCTCCTCTTCTACAATCCTGCTCCGAGCATCCGGCGGTGTCACAGTAAATACATCCCCCCAAAAAAGAAACTACACCAAATCTCTGGGCATTCCTGGGATCAATAGGAATACGATTATGGATACCCGTACCCCCACATATGTATATTTAAACATCTATATATATATATATATATATATATATATGTAATACATACAAAAATACACTCATTTACATACATATACATATATGATGTATGTATGTAACGCATCATTCTTTTTAGGCTTTCATTGTTTTAGGTGTGTGTGTGTGTATCGTACATGTATGTATGGATAGGTAAGCTGCTAATTGCTAGGCTACTCATATAAATCGCGTATATTATAAACTTTAGCTGTGGAGAGAGCAGAGCTATATGCGCCATGTATGCATTGTAGTTAAAGATATATGTATGTATGTATATATTTGTATATGGTTTGTGTGGTATGGTATTATGGCTACATATGTAGCTATATGTAGGTCGAAATATGCAGTAGATGCTCAATCATGGTGGCAAACACAGCTACGCCTTAAGTTACGACAATTCAATTCAACTGTACATTTATATAACTGCTTTTGTTTAGTTTTTGTTTTTTTGTTTCACGTTTTCACTGAAATGGTAAGAGCACAAATTGGATTCTAATATTATTGTATATGTTCCGTTGGTTAAACACTAGGCAAACAGCAACAACAACAACAGCAAATTCATGCAAAATAAAACAGTATAGAACTAGTAATCATTTCTGTCCTTCGGGCATGCTCGAAATCATATTTGTATCATTCGCATTCAAATATTCTGGGATTTCTCTGATCTTTATTGGTACTATGCATTTTTCACTATAGATAAGTATTTTATATTGTATTTATATAAAGAAATTATGTATTTAATCTTGTCCACGCGCCCTCGCACTAAGCCCCAAAAAAGGATTTCCTTTTCTTTTCCTCGTTTTGTGCCTTTGTACGTGTGTGTGTGTGTGTGTGTGTTTGTGTATTGTGTTTGTGGATCGTGGACCTTGTTTGGGTTCATCTCGAAAGCCTCAAGCTTTGCTTCAAAACTTTGTGCAACGCCAGCGTTTTTTTGAGATTTGTTGTTCGTGGTGGATTTTGGTTGTGTTCTTGACCAGGGGATTTGTTTTTTGTTTGTTCTGTTTATGTTTCTGTTTTCTCAGTAATTGCTTCCGTCTGGCGGCGGCGTTGTTAAGAACTCATCTTGTCGCTTGTGCTCGATTAGGGCTCGCACAGTGCCGCTGTCCGTGGGCAGATCGGATTTTCGCCTCAGCAATGGCTTCTCCTTGTTCCGTTCGCCGCGTATCTGTGAGTAACGGAAGTGGGGTAGGCCAAAATATATGTAAAGTGCCCGCTACAACAGGTACAGCATACGTGTTTCGCAACACGGACAAGTGACGTTACATGGTGACTGGTGTGACGTTACGAGTGAGTTACATACGTTACGTTAACGATATAGGAAGTGCGTAGAAGAAGTTTTTGGCTTTTGGTGCCCCCCTTACAGATGGAACCACACAGCTACGAAATGTACATCCACTAACTGATGAAAACTCCTCTTTTCGGTTTCATATGTTACAAAGTCCAATTCGAGATCGTGTGGGTGTGGGTGGCGGTGGGATTGTGCGTGTATATGGTTGTGTTTCTAGTGTGTTAGAGCGTAGGCACAGTGGTTCAATTTCCATTTCAGCTTAGAAGTATTTGAATGAATGATATTTATACAAATGTTGGTTTGAATATGGAACTAAACTTCGCTAAATATTTATGTATATTTTTCCCGCCCAATTTCGATGAGTTTCTGAGCCACTGTGCGTACATATGTTTGCTCAGAATTAAAGCCGTATAGACAGAGCGAGAGAGGAGAGTGAGAAGAGTATTTGTTGTGCTTATGAATTCGGGTTTAAAGACAGTGAGAGAACCAATAAGAGATAATAAATAAATAGACAAAAGTTAAAGATATACAAATATGTATTTTGTTTTTTTGTTTGTTGTTTAAATGACATGAGTGTGATTAATTTTAACAGACATTCGTTCGATTAGAATTAGAGTTGAATTAGAGTAGGTGTTCGCTGGGCACAGCTCACAGCAGACGCCATGGATCAGATCACACATTGGCGGGATTAGTAGTTGTTTAGTGTGGTTAGTGTGGCAAGTGCCTGTCTCACCTCTCGGGGCTCCTGCAGCGACGACTGTTTCTGTGGTGGTAGCGGCGGCGGTGGCTGGCGCGACTGCTGCGGTAGCTGATCGTACGTTAGATCATTCTCATTGCATTGATCGTACAGATTTTGACTATCGGTTAGCTGCTGCTGCTGCTGCAGGCGGCTGTTATTGAAATAGCTCGACCTGGACCACTCTGGATTGGTCCTGGCCAGGCTCTCCACCTGCTGCCAAAGCTCCTCCCGGTGCGACAGCTTCTCTCGCTCCCTGTCGGAAGAAAACAACAATCATACGATTAGAAATACAATATTAAGAGGGTAGTGTGCTGTCCGTACATCTGCTTGTCTTGCTTGTAGTTCTTGCTGCACTCGTCGAACAACCGCTGATCCATCTCCATGAAGAGCTTGAGCGCATTGTAAATGAGACCGTGTATGGTCTTGTTCCAGTGCGTCTTGGAGTTGCGATTCAACGCTGGGAACATTATTGGCAGTATAACCGCCGAATTGTCCGCTATTAGGGACATAATGTACTCGTTGTTCCAATAATACAACGCCCGTTCGGCCACCTGAAAGTGCGGCGAGGAGACACACTTGGCTATCTGACGAAACAGCGGCACCATCACCTTCTGGAACTCGGCCGGCTCGATCACATCCAGCAGCTCTTCCACCTCATTCAAGAACATCACCTCCTTGGGACTGTGCGTCTTCGGCCAGAACTTAAGCAAACTTCTGCATGGGATGGGGACAATAAATCAATTTTAATGTGTTGTACATCTCATGCTCACGGCATGTTGTGCGGAAGTTGGGCTCAACACTCACTTGATGACCGCCTCGGACAAACTGGGATCCTTCTCGAGGAACTGCACCACACAGTAGGTCAACTGTGGATGATAGACCGAGAGGCTCTTGGCTTTGTGCAATGGCAGCAATACCTTAAGTAAAAATTGTTTATGCTCCTCTTTGAGCGGTAGAGCAAAACCATTGATAATGCTGCCCAATATCTCCAATAATTCGGCTATGCCATTATGATGTTCCGTCTCATAAATAAATCTAAATAAAAAAAAAAAACAGAATGGTTTAGAGAGGATTGGGATAGGATAGGATAGGATATACGGGGGGCGACTCACCTGTAAAAGACATTGTTGATCTGCTTTCTAATAAATGCTCTCAAACCCAAGAATTTTCCATAGATGCGATGTAAAACAGTCTTTAGGAAATCACGTTCACGTGGATCCTCCGAATCGAATAAATCCAATAATTGTAATACAAATTGATGATCAATATAACGCTTGGCAATATTTGGTTGGAAATCCGGTGACTCCAAGAAACGCAAAAACAGCTCATATACCAATTGAAGGTGTGGCCAAGACGACTCGAGCGTTGGCTCGTCCTCTTCGGGATCAAATTCGGCACCATTCGGATTTGATGATGGCGGCAGCGTCCGGAATAGATTCACAGAAAACTACACAAAAATATATTTATTATGGAGAGGATAAAGAGTTTGGTATGGTATCCTAAATACTAACCATATTGATCGCCTCCGGATAGATAATTTCGGTAATGATGCCATTTTGGTTTGTGAGAAAATCGACCATCTCGTGCAGAGCCGCACGCTTCACCTCCTTGAATTTGAGGTCGCTCAGCGGCTCGGAGAAATCGAAAAGCGTGCAACATTGTCGTATCTTTTGGATGAAAAGCTCTTCCCGTTCACTGGCGGCCGTCTCTGCGAAATCCATAATAAAATTTATCAAAATATATTACGTTCTTGTTAAATATGCAGCTCTATTTACACATCAAATAATAATGAAAAATATAATAATCCTACGAAAAACGTCAAGGAAACCAACAGCAAATCGATCAACAAAAAGTAAGGCAAGGCGAAACTCAAAATGTATCAAAAATTCAATGAAGAACAGATAAAGGATCAAGTTCTATGGGCCACCAAACCGAATGGCCATGTCAACCAGGTAGATGTGGTAGGTGCTTCTATCACTTTATCTGCGTGCCGCATGGCCATTGGTTTGGAATTAGCTGTAGCTGGAGAGATAGCAACCTCGCAGTGCAGGCAGTGCCAAGGCAACCGAAGCAGTGGGCGGCGAATGAAACAGATTCCG